TGCTGGCGATGTGGTTCTGCACTTGCCACACGATCGACGGCGGCCGTCGCGACACGTGCGGCACCGGGACGTGCTCGCCGTCGCGCGGGTCGACGAGCTCATTCACCGACAGCAGCAGGTTTGCCTTTTGGCTCGCAAGCACGTCAGTCTCAGCAGCGGTGTCATCCGCAGCAGCAGCAGCAGCAGCAGTAGCAGCAGTAGCAGCCGCAGCCGCAGCAGTAGCAGTAGCATCAGTAGCAGTAGCATCAGCAGCAGTAGCATCAGTAGCATCAGCAGCATCAGTGTCGTAAAGCCGCAGTACGTGGCCATCTGAGAGCGACGACAGTGTTGAGTAAGTGCCACCAGTCGGTGACAACGTGAGCACTCGCTGCAGTTCCTCGCACATATGCACGTTCTTATCCCGCTCCTGCTGCACACGTGCGATGGCGACCCCCACGCCCGCCACAATTTCGTCGTAGCCACGCACAACGTGCGCCACGATGCTGCTGTTACTTTTCTCATCGAAGGACTGAGACTCCTCGTTGCCGCTGCTCTCCAACAGCGACTTCAGTGACGCAAAGGCCGCTGCCGCCCTTGTGCATTCGCTTTGCAGCGCCATGACGCTCTCCAGAAGCGGCACACCATCGCTGAGCTGCTGCGCCTTCCCGCCATCGCCACCTACACTGATCACCAGAGAGTTAAGCGCATCAATCAGAGAATGCTGCATTTTCTGCAACACCTCCACCCCACTGCNATCGTCGCTGTCCCTCGGGCTGCCTCTGTCGTCATCGTTCGCATTACTGCCTGTGCCCGAGGGCGTTTTGATGTTGTTGCTGCTGGGGATTGCCGAGAAGCGCGTGCCTGACACATTCACCCCCTCCAGTGCGACACGCAAGCCCCTCATCGCACGCCGCCCCGCGTCGTGGCGGTGACGCAGTACAGAAACACCGTCCACCAGCTGCCGCACGCAGGAACCAACGTCCTCCTCGATTGACTGCAGCAGCGAAGCCTGCAGCTCCGCGTGATGTAACAACAACGACTGGAACTCCGTGTCACTCTTCGTCCCCTCACCGCATAACACCACAGCATCCACCAGTTTAACCTCAGAGTCAGACTTTGCCTCACGCAAGCCGCTTGACGACGGCACTGGTGACTCAATGTTCAACGAGGCAAACACATCGGCCCACGCCTCGCATTGAGACTCGCAGCTGCGGCACTCCTTCACCTGGCCTCCCAACATGCACCGCACCACACTAGAAAGCCTCCTCAGCATCGGCATGGCACAGGAATCCTCAGACAACACACTCGAAAACGCAGACGGCGAACACATACACTCAGACCCCATCGGAAGAGACGTTACCCCCCTCAAGGCATCAAAAAGAATGCCTGCCACCTCCCTCACACCATCCAGTACATCACGCAACTCATTCCGAACAGAACTTTCAACCGCACGGGAACTCCTCAGCTCTTCGTCAATACGCGACCGTTCACCCTCCACTTCTTCACAAAAAATAGAGAGACGTCGAGCATGCGCTTCCGCGGCACAGCGGCTCTCCTCGCTCGCCTGCAGTTTCCCCTCCAGCTCACGCACAGCAGAGCATGTCATCTGGAGCTGTTCATTGAGTTGTTCAATATTTTGCCGGTAGATGGAGTTTTCGTCGTTTTCTTGTACAGTGTTGGGTCCTATATCATTTTCAATGCCTGTTGTGCTTTTCTGATCCATTGTTGTCTGTGTTTCTACCTCTTGTGTAACTTTAGCACGGTGATTTGCTTTGAGGTCTGCTTTGAGAGTTGCTATCGTTGTCTGTTGTGATTCTACAGTACTTCGTAGCTTTTGCATGGCATCCTGTAGTGGTTCCAGGTAATCTCTTGCAACGACTTCGGCCTCCTCAACGAGTGTTTTCTCTGCCGTTAAAGGTGTATGGTGTATGTTTGGTTTATTGTCTTCATGGAGTGAGTACAACACGCGTAATATGGCGCGTAGAGAGCCCCGTAGGCTTGCTTCGTGGGTTATAATTGCAGCCCGAGCGGACGATTCTTCATTCTCGGTTAATTCCAGTTTCATATCTCCGCGTTCGTGGCAAAACGGAGGCAATAATAGGTGATTGTTACCAGCGGCGTTATCTGTGCCGACGTGTGTCAAGGAGGCGGGGATGGAGCCGGTGTACTCGAGCGGTTGGAACGGCCGCCTCGTCCACGCCAACTCCGTATCGCTTTCGCTGTCGCTGTTGCTGCCCTCCACAGTGCTGGGCGCCATGTGGTACGAATCCGCGCGGCTGTTGATGCCCTGTGAGGTGTTCATCTGGCTGTTGCGTGCGCGCGAGACGGAGAGCACCGGCACAGGCTCCAGGTCAGCGAGGAACTCCATCCACGTGTCACGGTCGTCCTTGACGTCCGTTGCGAATACCATGAGACGGCGCTGCCGCCGCTGTGATGCGCAATCAAGACGCTCGCTAAACTCAACGCCAAAGTAGTAGTAGCGCGGCAGCGTCTTACCGCCGCGGCTTTGGAAAGTGCGCCTCGATCTACACGATGCCCTGCGGGATTTCGTGCTCTCCCGCACGCTGCTTCCCCTGCGAAGCGAGCGGCGGCTCGTCAAGGCCTCGTCCTCCTGCCGGTGTGTGCTCTCCGTCACCGGCACCTGCCGCAGTGGGTTGCGGTGCATGTGTGTATGCGAGAACATGAAGATGATGCGCAGTGCGTCGAAGTGCACGGCGTCAATGATGCGGCTCCGGTCGCCCCAGCTACTGTACACCACGAGCTGGCGGTTGTTGCACACCACCCACTGTGTCGCCGCGGAGGCGCGCTTGCCTGGCCCCATGGTTGGCGTCACGTACCACAGCTCGCCCTCGATACGGTCCGACACCTCATCGCTGCCCTGCAGTGCAGAGAAAGATGAGCCAGTCGGTGCTGGCGCGCTCACTCGTCGGAGGGAGTGCAGCGCCTGAAACGACGGCGCCAGCAACCTGGCAGTGCGCCCCTCGCCTTCGTCGCCGGACCCCTGCTCCCCAGTGGAGAGCTGCAGCTGAGGCAGCAGCGCACCTTTATGAGAGCCTCTCGCACGCTGGTGGTGCTGGTGAAACGATCTCTCTTGCATATGCGTACCTGGGTATCAATGTATCAATATAAATATATATATATATATATATATATATATATATATCTTATCTGC